GTAGTAGTTAGTTGCGTCTGGATGCTCACAGCTCTGGAGGATGCACCGAGACCACAGGTACCTCGGAGGCCCCTGCTGTCTGTCCCCAAGAGGAATATACGAGAACTAGATACCTCTTTTTACATCCTTTGGATTTCAGGTAGGAAGAAGACAGTTTGCGGGGAAAGCTTGAGGTGATTCACTAAGGCCGGTCAGCAGTGGAGCCATCATTTCTATCACCATAGCTTCCCGTTTTGCCCCTGCCCCCTCACCCACATTCCTTATCCACATTTCTAACCCCCATGGTCATCCTTTGTGTGGATAATCAGCCTTTTCTCAGTTTTAGGTAAGGTGCTTTGGAAAAACCCAGTTCAGACTGTCTTTACACCAATTCCTACCCCTCAGCCTGTAGCTGACTAAGACCCGCATTTAAGCGTTCTGACCTCATAATTCGTTATGCTCCCACATAGCCCAGACTTTGAGCATCATAGAGTGGGCGTAAGTAGGGAGGGTTATAAGCACGTGTCTTTTGCCGGTTTCCTGTGGCATACTAGCCAGCTTGGTAGCAGTTGTGCCTTAGCCAAGTCTGTCTCTGGACCATCCAGTCCTCCACTTTTCCTTCCTCGCCCAGAGGACTCGGAGAGTGAGAACGGTGGGCTCCCTGGCCAGCTGGTGGCCAGGGAAGGGAGTGGATGTTTGGAGGCCTAGCAGCTCCCAGGCCCCTGGGGTGTCTGTTGCATGTTCTACTCACATCATGGCAAGTCACTACTTTGTCCCCAAAGAGAAGTAAATGTTTGCTCCTCTCTACGAGGGAAGGTGGACATAGAAGAAATGCAGCATGGTAAATCCAACAGTAAAGTGTGTCCACAGTACAGAAGTGCTGCTTCCACAATGAGAAACTTCTGGACCAAGTGAAGGGATGACAGGCAGATAGAATTCTGATTTAGGAGCCTCCAAGATGGTAAGGAAACTGGAAGTTCCACAGAGGGTCTGAGAGCAAGCATTTCTTGCTGACTTTCTCACAGGTCTTTCAATCCCCCGGGAGGGTTGGGTCTGGCTCCTTGGCGACAGACCTAAGACACTAAAATAATTTACTTCTTTGAACCAGAGCCAAGTGAACAAAGGGTGGAGAGACTCCAGCTTCTCTGTAGTGGGAGAGCCTGGTCCTCTGAGCCATTGTCTCCCCTCAGCTTGTTTCCATCCCTCCCCTTGTGGTCTTCTTACTCCTCCGGAAAGGTGTCCTGGAGCACAGCTGGCTCAGCTCCCAGGGAGGACTGGCATGGCCCACTGGGAGTCACCAATTTCCATGGCCTTAATAGAAGGGGCTTCCTCCTGCAGCTGGGGCCACAGTGAGGACCCCTGCCCAGCCTTACCATCCAGCTGCACCAAGGGCTATATGTGTTTTCTTCCTCTCTTCTTTCTTTCCTCCAAAGAATCTTTTCTAAACTTGTTTCCCTAGAATAACTAAGGAAAAAACAAATCTCCATTGGAGCAGAAAGCTCCCCTGTTGTGTTGGCCAAAAGGCCAGGGTCACTTGGATTTGAAGTGTCTTTAACAATGCCGAGATCCTGGACCAGGGTTTCTTACTGCCCTCCAGTTGTCGTTAGACTCTCCCCAACTCCCCAGGAGTGGGCCGTGTCTCCGGTGTCTGGCCAGGCAGGAGGGCTCCACTTGCTGAATCTGCCCCCCGCTGCAGGCTGCCACAGCGGCCACGCTGTGGGCCGAGGGGCCGCTGGGTTGGTGAAGAGCAGGTACTTTGTAAATGCTTACCTCAGCGTGAATGCCCATCCAGGTAAAGCTAAAATTACCTCAGATGTGTCACAGTTGAAGAGTTTTATGTTTGTTTCTGAGTGTTCTGAAGTTGCTGCAGATAAATTTGAGAAACACAGCTGAAGTGGGAACAATGGTTTGTTTTGTTGATGTGATTCTGCAGAAGGAACCCTGTAATACAGCCTGGCCTCTAAGGGGTACCTGGGGGTTCCCTTGCACAGGTCTTCAGGGTGTCTTGCACCTGGATTTGGGGTGCTGGTTGGGGCGGATAGAAATTGGGGAAGATCTGCCTGGAGACATGCAGGATTTTGTGAATCTCCATGGGACCCAGGGCCTGTGTTTTTATGTCTCCACACCGTGGGGACAGTGGTTGAGTGAGCTGACTTTAGTGTCCTTCAGGCTTGGCTTCAGTTCGTGATAAATTCAATTTCTGGCTTTGCTACTCTCCTGCTCGCTGTGGGTCGTGTTTCCTAATCTCCAAACCCCAGTTTCCTCATCTGTTAGATGGGTAAGGTTCCCAGCTTCTCTTCAACGGATCAGGGAATGTCAGTGCTTAGCAGGGTTCGCGCTCATCATCTCTTGGCCTCTCCTTCTCCGAGTCCATGCAGCCCCCCTCCCCTTTGTTCTGACAGCACAGCCCCTGCCTTAGACAGATTACAGTGTGGTTGGGGGGAGAACAGCTTTCTTTGTACAATGGGGTTTAGCCATTTTGGCCTAAGTCCACCCTGCTCACTATAATGTAACTTTTGGTTCTTGGTGGAGATTTGAGAGTTGTCAGTCTCAAAGTAACACTTTTATAAACCATCATTTTTGCTGATGCCTAATCCATTCATTTGTGTGACTCAAAGTATATTCCATTGAAGAGTGATGTTTAATCACTTAATTCTGTGCGTGCCCGATGTGTGGAACCTAAAGCCTGCAGTGTCCCCGGGTGTGCTTGTGGTAGGGACTTGAGTGATGTGTGTGCTGCAGGCCTAGAGTAAAGTTAGCCATGTGGATATTCCTGATAGTTCATTAGCAGCTTAATATCTGGGCTGAGAGGGAGTCAAAGTGGAGGAACCTGCCAATTAGAAGTCTTAAAACAATAATAGTCACAATTTATTGAGTGCTTTCTATAGTTCAGGCACTCAGTAACTTGCCATAGCTCATGTCATTAAATCTTCGTAATAATCCAATGAAGTGGGTACCAGTTTTATAGATGAGAAAACTGAGGTAGAGAAAGGCTGAGTAACTTGGCCAAGGTCACTTAGCTGGTGAGCAGTGATACAGAAATTCACGCCAGGTCTGTGTGGCACTAAAGGCCATTGGTAAGCTGCATTGCTGCTCTGGGTGATTCTAGAATGTTAACTGTGCATAAATAACTTGCCCAAGATCACACAGCTGCTAAGTGGCAGAGCCAGGATGCAAACCAGCCTGCTCTTAACCACTCAGCTGTAGTTCGTATGTCACAGGCAAAGGCCTGGAGGTGAGTGACCCACTGCAAGGCCTTGTGCCCGGAGCCCAGCCACAATAATTGGGTTCCTGGGTCTCGTTTAAGGAGGCTCATTTTCCCCTCCTGATATTTGTTTATTTCATTAATTAAATTATAACTACATTAAGGGAAATGATTAACAAAGAAATGTCATTAGTCCTACTCCCTTAAGCTTTCATTTCTCTCTGTTCTTTCTCAGTTTTTTTTTTCTTTTGCGAGATCAGTCCTGTGCTAACATCTGCCAATCCTCCCCTTTTTTTTGCTGAGGAAGACTGGCCCTGGGCTAACATCCACGCCCATCTTCCTCCACTTTATATGGGACGCCACCACAGCATGGCTTGCCAAGCAGTGTGTTGGTGCGCGCCCAGGATCCAAATCGGCGAACCCTGGGCCGCCGCAGCGGAGCATGCGCACTTAACCGCTTGCGCCACCGGGCCCCCGCTTCTCAGTTCTTAACTCTTACATAATTGCTCTGCTTCTTTACTTAGCATTAAACTCATGATTCTCATTTTATTAGTTGCATGCTATTCCATGAAATTGGTATATAATAATTCACTTGACCATAACATATCTTTCTGCCTATAGCCTTTTTATTTTTGGATTGCTTCTACAGTGTAGATTCTAGAAGTAGAATTACTAATTCAAAGGATTTGAATACTTTTATCATCATATAACTTTTCAAGAGTCATATTATTTATATAACTCCAGCAGTATTCTATTGATTAACTTCACTAACATTCGGTTTTATATCTTGTTTTAAAAAATCTGTTTTGGGGCCAGCCCCCTGGATTAGCGGTTGAGTGTGCGCACTCCGCTACTGGTGGCCTGGGTTTGGATCCCGGGCGCGCACTGGCACATTGCTTATCCAGCCACGTCGAGGTGGCGTCCCACATACAGCAACTAGAAGGATGTGCAACTATGACATATTGACTATCTACTGGGGCTTTGGGGAGAAAAAGAGAAAAAAAAAAAAGGGAGGAAGATTTGCAATAGATATTGGCTCAGGGCTGGTCTTCCTCAGCAAAAAGAAGAGGATTGGCTTGGATGTTAGCTCAGGGCTGATCTTCCTCACACACACACAAAGAAGTCTGTTTTGCTATTTTAATAAGTAGCAATGGCACCATCCATCTTTTAAATTTGTATTCTTGACAAACTAGAGAGACTGAGTATTTTTCATGTTTGTTCCCTATTTTACGCAGTATAGAAATAAACCTTTGTCATGTTTAATGGTGTATAATTTTTCCTAGTCTGTTTTTTTCCCTCTTTTAGTTGTATTAATTTTTTTAGATTTTTATTTTGGAGAATTTCAAACATATACAAAAGTAGACACAATACTATAATGAATTCCCATCTATCCATTACTTAGTTTCAACAATTATCAACTCATGCCAAATCTTGTCTCATCTGCACTTTCATGCAAATACCCCCTCCTTTGTTATTTTGAAGCAAATCCCAGATATCATTTAATCCATGATTATTTCAGTATCTCTAAAAGATAAGGACTTTCTTTTTTAACATAACCACATAGTTTTTTACTTTTTAAATTTAGTCAAACCTGTTGAATTTGTCGCCTTTTATTTTTTTTATTCTACGCTTTCAGAAGGATTTTTCTCGAAAGCTAGGCAGTGGCATTAGAGAAGGAGTGAAGAGTCAGCTTAGATACTAACTGGATTTGGAGTCTGAGTAGAGATGTTCCTGTCTGGAGTGTGGCTGACAGGAGAGCAGAAGAGAGGGGAGTGTCTTAAGTCTTGCCCTCACCTCTGGCTCTTTGCTCTTCCAGACTTGTTTGTCACCATGAAGCTGCTGCACCCAGCCTTCCCTAGCTGCTTCATGCTGACCCTGCTCAGCTTGTGGACAGCTGCTCCTGAGGCTCACGCTGTGTCCAGCGGGGCGCCAGCCATCAGTGCGGCCTCTTTCCTGCAGGACCTCATGCATCGCTACGGTGAGGGCGACAGCCTCACCTTGCAGCAGCTGAAGGCCCTGCTCAACCACTTGGATGTGGGAGTGGGCCGGGACAATGTCACGGAGCCCATGCAGGGACAGAGGAACCTCTCGACGGTAAGGCTCAGCTCTGCTCAGCACTGTCTCTGCCCTCTCGGGGTTCACAGTCCAGCTGGGCACAGGGAGCTCAGCTGCTCTTGGTAGGTAAGATTGAGGCAGGCAAGCCTTGATGACAGCGCAGAGGCAGTTCTTCCCCCATTGTCTGAGTCAGCAAGGCTGAGCCTCCAGCAGCACCTGCTGACCTGCATGGGTGTTTTGAAGCCCTTGTCAATGGGCAGCTGTGAAGTGGGAGCTCTCAGCCCTCCAGACTCTTTCTCAGAGCTGCACTGGGATTACCTGGAACTGCCAGTCAGGTGGAGCTCCGGGACAGCGAGCATTTCTAACAGAGGGTAGAGTTTACAAAGCCGTTTGGCCACTTTTCCCGGTGAGCCTCGCAGCACCTCTAGGTGTAGGTGGACAATCTTCATTTTATGGGGAGGATACTGAGGTCCTGCAGTGAGCTCCTGGAGGGACCGGGAGGGAAGCCCAGGTCTCTTGGCTCCTGGTTCTCTGTTCTTTCTTCCATATCATCTTTGCTAATCAGAGTCTGAGACTATTTGTGGCAGCCAAATATGTCAGCCAGTAATGTCTTTCAATATCTACTTTGTCCCCTGGGCTAAGTGTTGTGAGCAATAGAGAAAAATGAATCATGTTCAGGGAGTTTACCCTCAAGATGGGAAACTCAACCAACAGAGAACAAAGTAAGCTGATATTAAGATGAAGCGTTAAATACTGTGGGTTGGACAGTCATTGTAGGAGTCAGAAATGAGAGAGGGGGATAAGTGTGCACTAGAATAATCAAGGAAGGTTTGTGGGCATGGTGTCCTGGAGCTTCACCTTGAAGGAGAATAGAGTTCGGAGAAATCTAGTGGCCAAGGGGGCCATGTGGCATGGACGCAGAACTGCAGGAGCACAGTGAATGTCTGAGTCAGGGAGGAGGCTGCCCGGGGAGGCTGGTGCAGCCTGGCCCCAGAGGGCCTCCTGGCCAGCAGCAGCACCTTGGGGTCACCGGAGCCCAGCCCTCAGCTTTGTAGGCCCAGAAACTCTGACATGTCAGCACACCCAGAGGCTGACTCTCTTACAGATAGACCCATGTAAAACCAAACTCAGATAAAGACTGTGACATGTGAGTGTATAGAGTATAATTAGAAGTAAAGCTGCAGTGTTTCACAGGAATGGTATGTGAGAACCACTTCCCTGATGCCTCCTAAGGGTACTGAGAGCTCACGTCCACTGGCCAGGCCACACTTGCTGCATGGTAGACTTTGAATCTTCAGATTTTCCTTCCTTCCTTCCCTAATCTCTGCCATCACATTCTCCAGGCTGGGGACAATACTGTAGGTCAAGGAGACTAATGTTTCCCTATAGATGCCAGTGCTCAGTAGCTCTGGAGAAGTATCCAGAATCTGCATTTTAATATAAGAGCTCCCTGGGCTATTGTGTATTTGGTATCTGGATGCACTGTATCTTAAGATATAGAATCGTGTTTTCCAGAAACCACACCCTGTTCACAATGATTGGAATTCAGTTGTTCCTAGAATTTTGGGGCAGCCATTTACAGATGGGTGTGCATAAGGTGTGTTCACTGGGTGGCTGATTTCTAAGATTACTTATTAGTTTTTCAAGTCTAGGGACTACCTTGGTCGCATCCCTGGAGATTAGTCTGTAGATTCCCAGAAATTTGGACAGTTCTGTCTTCTTTCTTTCCCTCTTGGAAGGCCAAGTCGGTTGTTGCTTGGGGGCAAGGTGTGACTTTGGCTCTAAGAGGCTTTCTGCCCCTTCCCTTCGTCTCAGTGCTTTAGTTCCAGGGACCTCTTTGCTGCCCACAACTTCAGCGAGCAGTCCCGGATTGGGACGAGAGAGTTCCGGGAGTTCTGCCCCACGGTCCTCCAGCAGCTAGATTCCCGGGCCTGCTCCTCCGAGAACCAAGAGAACGAAGAGAACGAGCAGACAGAGGAGGGACGGCCAAGCACGATTGAAGGTGAGCTGGGTGGGAAGGCAGGGGCCTGGTCCCCGTGCTGTCTTCACGTGGACCGCTGACTGATCGGATGGTGCTGCTCACTGAATATTTAACCAGTGACGAGTTATCAACATCGGAAGGGGCAAATTAGAGGGATGATTGTACCGGTATCTTTTGCACTCAAAAGACTGGTCCAGCACATTGTCAGACTGGACGGCATGGCTGGTGAATGTTCAGTGTTGGGCTTTTGGACCAGTCTGTAGATGCTTTTTTTGGCCACTTTTCCATTTTGGTTTTCATTAAACTACATGGGGGCCAATGCCTTGGTTTTACAGTTTAACATTTAAGACCTTACAGAGTCTGTCCTCGGCCCAATTCATCCTTTTCCACCTCCCCTGCCTGGTACCTCTGCTCCAGCCACAGTGGGCTCACCGTGGTCTGTGAGTGTACACAGCTCTCTCAGGCCTGGCTTGCCCTTCTGACATCCCGTCGCGCTGGCGTGTGGTGCCCGACACTCGGTACCTGGCGTATGTTGCTGTGTCGTGCCTCATGTCGTTTCCAGCTATCAGTATTTAACTCGTGGTATTTAACCTTTCATGTTGTTTTCACCTGCCTCTCTATCTAAAAGGTCAGCTTCTTTTGGATAGCAACTTTGCTGTATTTTTCTAGGCTTCTCCACAGCACCTGGCAAGAGATGGACTCAACACATTTACTGATGGGTTGGTGGATCTCTGTCTGCTCTGATCACAGCTGAACTCAGAATGGGCTGTCCCAGGCAGCAAGAGCACCCCACCCTCAGTAATGGGGCCCTCGTCTGTTCTCGTTCCTCCGCAGTGTGGGGCTTCGGTTTCCTCAGTGTTTCACTGATTAACCTGGCCTCTCTTCTGGGAGTCCTCGTCCTGCCATGCACGGAGAAAGCGTTTTTCAGTCGTGTGCTCACTTACTTCATCGCCCTGTCCATTGGAACGCTGCTCTCTAACGCGCTCTTCCAGCTCATCCCAGAGGTGCAGTAGAACAGAAACGGGCACGTCCTCTCCCTGGGGCGTCCCCCCCCACCCTGTGCTCTAAGGCACCCGACAGCTGCCACCTGAAAAATTAACTTCTCCCTCATATCACGGAAGTGACTTCTGACTCTGGATCTCGAGGGCCTTCGCTCATTCCTGGGGCACCCACGTGTGTCTCTGGCCTCTTCAGGGGATGTCAGATGCAAGGCTCCTGGCATTTGCCCTCCCTGCTGGGGATCTCACAGCCTCCCTTCCCCAGTCAGTGTCTTTCCTGAGCTCCATTTGCAGGGCTCAGGAGGAAGGCTGCAGCTGGTGGTTGCTGTCCACATCCTTGGCACCCCGTACGCCTCTGTTCTAAGTAGAGGCCCTGGCAGTACTTGCTGTGGCCGCCAAAAGATGGGCCTTCTGGAATGAGGTGGAAGGAAAAGAGGTTACCAAGTGAAAAGTAAAATTGGCCTAAAAAGCGAATGATCCTTTTTTAAAAGCAGGCCATAAGACATAGTATAGAGAGCCAAACATAGAATGAAGACTCTCTAATAAAAACAAATGACATTAAAATCACAAAATAAAGGGAAGGGGCACTGAATCCTTCATACCTTGCATCTTGACATTTTCCTGATAGGACTGACTTCCTGGTGCCTTTACTTGACTGTTTTGAAATGTTTGTTAATTTTGTTTTTTAATCACGACCACTAAGGAGCTAAAAAAAATAAGACCCAAGTTGACACTCTGCCCACCTCGTCAGCTCAGCGGGGACGTGCAGTATGGCAATGACGGGTGGACCTCCTTTGGGTATGGTGGCAGCCGCCTTTCATAAAGAGCCTGTGTCAGGGCTGCCCAGCCTTTCCCAGTCAAGAGACTCACCCAGAAGAGATAGCAGGCAGGATGCTCAGGCCTGGCCTCGCCTGGTCCTTCTTCATAATGAGAGAAGAAATCTGGTTTAAGGTGAGCTGTCCTGATACTGTCTCAGAATTCCATGTGAATCAGCAAGCACTTCTCAAGGGAGGCCTCATGTTGGGCTATTTTTTTCAGCTCCAGAAATTGAATTTATTAATTTTTTAAAGATTTGAAGTGAAATGCCTTGTTGTCTGTTGAATGGAAATGCGATAATTGTACACACTCCCCTGTGGCTCACAGGGAGTGCCTCACCCTGGCTTGGTTTCGTCCTGCCTGGAGTGTGGAACTGGGAAATAGTGGAGGAAACATTTTTTGTGACGGGGTGGTCTTGGAACTCTGTTCTCTGTGCCAGAGCCCTCTCAAAGCAAAAGGAAACCAGTGAACCAACAACAACAACAAAACCTGAGAAGTTAAGAAACTGAGTTTATGGGCATTGGGCCTGACCTGTTCTCCATCCCTCTGCCCTGCACATCTGACTAGTTGTATCTTGCATAAGCCAGACCAAGTCCAGGTGGTCTTGCACGTGCCTCCACAGTTCGGGTCAGATGTACAAAGCAGACAGGCAGCACAATGATCAGTGTCTTTCCTTTGCTCTTGTTTCCTGTTAGAGAGAGCCCTTGAGTCCAAAGTCTGCCACGGGCAGCCTCTGGATGGGCCTGAGTACACCTCAGCTGTGTGACGAGGTGGCACCCCGCCCTGCTAGTCACACCAGCTGGCAGGTGTAACTTAGGCCACCAAAGACAGCAGGGGCGGGAGCCACAGGGTTCCAAGGCCACTTTGAATTCCTCCTCATTTCCTCTGAACTGATTGAAGGAAATTTCATCAGACTTGAATCACTAACAAATTTTCTATTTCTCTCTCCCTCCCTACTTGTCTCTCTGATTTTTCTTGTGTTTCCCTTGTTAATATCCACCAAAACCTTCCTTGTTACCTGCCCACCCTCTCCATCTTCTTTCCCCTAAATGGTGGTTGCTGCGATGGGGCACTTGCCCTTCTCCCTATCCTGGGTGGGGCTGGCTCTTGCTGCAACGGCAGTGTGGGGATATGGTCTCCTCTGTGTGACCGTCATCTCCCTCTGCTCCCTCATGGGGGCCAGCGTGGTGCCCTTCATGAAGAAGACTTTTTACAAGAGGCTGCTGCTCTACTTCATAGCTCTGGCGATTGGAACCCTCTACTCCAACGCCCTCTTCCAGCTCATCCCCGAGGTATGGCAAGCCAGGGCTCTCACACACAGGAGCACACCACTCTCCTGGGGCCACAGGGCATAGTGGGAGGACCCTCCATTTCGATGGAACGCATGGAAAGGAGGTCCTTTTCTTTGGAAAGGGAAGCTAAGATTTAGGCATGAGCTAGGAGAGGTAGCATAGCGCATAGATTTGAGAGCTGGGTTCAAATCCCAGCTCTACCATCAACAAGTTCTCTGACCTTGGGCGAGTCACTTAACCTCTCTGTGCTTCTGTTTCCTCATCTGTAAAATGGGGAAAATAATAGGACCTACCTCATGATGATGTTGTGAGGGTTATATGAGTTAATATTTGTGAAATGTCTGGTGCCTAGGAAATGCTCTCTGTTGTGTGAAAAGATCTAGCGCAGTTAGATCACTTTATGGCTGTCAATTTGGGGCTTTTGGCACAAAAAACCCCACATCAACAATCCATAGGTCTAGATAAAAAGATCAGTTCTCCTCAGCAGGGCATTTGGGGCAGAGGTGTGACTGAATGAAACCTCTGGTTCCACACAGGTTGATGGCACCTTTGCCCCTTCGCGTAAGTGAATGAGAAAGTCCCCCACCTAAGAGGAGGGAGCATAGTCTTGGTAAAGGTCCGCAGGCGGCCTTGGAGGCGGCTCACCTGATTTGGTGTATTCCCTGCTGTAGACCCGCTCGTGACTAAGCACGGGGCGTTTCGTCGTAGGTGGTCTGACAGGCCTGGACAGAGCCAGAGTGGAAGCAGAAAGACATGCTGCTTCTAGCACTTTATGATTTCCAAGACGTGGTTTTATGTTTTCTTAGTTGATCCTTAGATCAACTCTGTGACATCGAGAGAGGAAGTGATGTTTTACCCATTTAACGGATACGGAATCTGACCTGCTCAAGAGCACGCATCCTGGAGGCCAGGCTTTATAATCCCTAAAGCCATGCTTTTGTGTTCTGCCACCCTTCGTGGAGAACTGTTAGTTGCCTATTTTCACTCTACTCTTCCCACAAATGATTTGACTCTCCTGGAAAGTTGACCTTAATGTGTCGTTTCTACCCCTGAACTTGACCTTTGTGTCTCTTAGCAAACTATACTGGGGGGTAGAGATTGCATTTTGTCCCTTTAAAACAGAAAGAAAAACTTACCTTTTAAGCAGCCCAGAGTTATGGTACTTGTGATCACTTTTATCTTTGAGCTGTGCACGAGAAGGCAGAAGTTTATTTGAGAGGCCTGTTTCCTGTCAGAAAACTGAGGAGCAGGTCCCCGGACACTTTCCCAAGGCCCCATCACAGTCAGGAGCGTCAGAATGGAATTCTCAGAATGGAATTCTGATTTCTACTCCTGTCTACTTCCCAATGGATTTTATTTTTTTTCCTCCATAATAGGTGAAGTTTCCAGAAAGAACTCAAAACAGAACCCCAGAAATTGACATGTGCAGGAACACAGACTGCTTTCTTGGCTTTGTGGTCACCGGGAGGTCTGCGGTCAGGAAGATGCCGCAATTCTTAGTACTTAAGTGGGGAATGGATTTCCCATTTTAGAAACTGTAATTACACCATCTCCCTTTGTGTTTATAGGCAAATCAGCTAGGGACACTAGATAACAATGAAAATAAACACAAGTGTCTTCCCCTTAGATACGGGATTTGCCGGCAGAGGCTGCCCTTGTAGCAGAGCACCAGGAGAAATGGAGACAGAGTCCTCGTTAAAAGTAGAAAACTATACCCAAGGCTATTCTCCCTAGAGTAACATTGTGAGGGTGATCCGTCTTTTGCATCAGAAAATAAGCTAGAGAGAACCTACCATGTCTGGTGATGAGACATTATGGAAACATCAAGGGTTAGATTTTACTGGAAAGGGAATGGGTAGATGGCACAGTTATCTCAGTGCATCTCTTTCCCAGAATCAAGGAAGTGGTTAAGAGAGGAGAGAGGACAGTGAAGATTTTTTATTTTCTTAAACTCATTTTGTTTTCCTGGGTCCACAGGCTTTTGGTTTCAACCCTCTGGAAGATGATTATGTCTCCAAGTCTGCAGTGGTGTTTGGGGGCTTTTATCTTTTCTTTTTCACAGAGAAGATCTTAAAGATGCTTCTTAAGCAGAAAAATGAGGTGAGGCCTAATTGTTGGTAAAGGAAGTGCTTCTAGGGAAAGCATCTGTCTCAGAAATGCTTCTGTCATTACCTCACCACCAGTACAGTGAGCTTACCTGGTGTCCTCCTGCCATGGAGTAAACCCCACAGATTTCATGAGTAGACATCCCATTGCACTTACGGAGGATGTTAGCAGAGGGCAAGGGCAGACCAGAAACCAGATCTGGCCTATGTGCCTTTTGCTAGGCGGTATTTTATCCCCTTTGTTTTATTCTGGATTATTTCTTTAATATACCTTTTATACCTTAGGAGATGAGGAAGGGGCTTGATACATACATTCATTGTGTATGAAATATGACTGCAAAGAAATGACTGCAAAGAAATGGGACCGATTATTGCAGTGTAGTTCCAAAAAGATATCTTTGGTGCCTGGGATGTGTTATCCCCTAAATGGTTGCTGAATTGAATAAAAGTAGCCCTCACAAAGGAGGAGCTCTGAACATTTTGAGCAGTGCTGTCTGGCGGGGAGGAGTGTTGGCCTGCAGCCACTGCTTTGACGCCAGCCACACTCTCACACTCCCCCTGGCCAGCATTCTGTGACAACTTTCCCTAGGCTTCTGTGCGTATCGCCTGCTTGTGTTTTCTAGTGATGGGAATGAGGTCTTCCCGATGCTTGGAGCACATGCTCAGAGTGGGTGCTCAGTGGGTGGTTTTGGTGAGTGTCATGCTGACCCCTGTCTAGTCCCTCCAGCATCATCACGGACATAGCCATTATGCCTCTGAGACGCTGCCTTCCAAGAAGGACCAGGAGGAGGGGCTGACAGAGAAGCTACAGAATGGGGATTTGGACCACATGATTCCTCAACACTGCAGCAGCGAGCTGGATGGGAAGGCCCCCATGATGGACGAGAAGGTCATCATGGGCTCACTCTCTGTCCAGGTGGGTGGGCCATCCAACGCTTGGTAGGGGCCTTTAAGCAGTAATGGCCTTGATCACTTAGGCCTACCTTGAAGGTCCATTGTCCACCCTTTGATCTGAGGGCTGTGGGGCTGGGCTTTCTTATAGGACCTGCAGGCTTCCCAAAGCGCCTGTTACTGGCTGAAAGGTGTCCGCTACTCAGATATTGGCACTCTGGCCTGGATGATCACCCTGAGCGATGGCCTCCACAATTTCATCGACGGCCTGGCTATCGGTGCCTCCTTCACTGTGTCTGTTTTCCAAGGCATCAGCACCTCAGTGGCCATCCTCTGTGAGGAGTTCCCACATGAGCTAGGTCAGTGTACATGCCTCTGCCCCTCCACTTGTGCTGCCTCAGTTACTGGCACAGGCACTCTTCCCTGCGGTTGACTCCTCCCACCACTTCAGAACACTGATTGTAGTTCATGAACACAGTCTCTGTGCTACTTGAAATCTAACCACTAATTTTTAACAGTTGAATTAATAATTGAAAATTGATCTTTGAAAATGATGAGAGTTGGTTTTTTTTTTTTTTTTTTGTGAGGAAGATCAGCCCTGAGCTAACATCCATGCTAATCCTCCTCATTTTGCTGAGGAAGACCGGCTCTAAGCTAACATCTATTGCCAATCCTCCTCCTTTTTTACCCCCAAAGCCCCAGCAGATAGTTGTATGTCATAGTTGCACATCCTTCTAGTTGCTGTATGTGGGACGCGGCCTCAGCATGGCCAGAGAAGCGGTGCATTGGTGTGTGCCCGGGATCTGAACCCAGGCCGCCAGTAGTGGAGCGCGTGCACTTAACCGCTAAGCCACGGGGCCGGCCCGAGAGTTTTTTTACAGGAATGTTTGTTTCCATTTAGCCCCATATCCTCTGGCTCAGTCTCCTCACCTATACAATGGGGGTAATAATAGTACCTGCATCAGAGATTTATCTTGAGGATTAAAGGGGAAAAAATAGTGGAAGGGACCTACAATGTGCCGTACAGTCTTCTAAGTGCTCGATATAGATGATTTCTTACAGCCTGTTGATCTTCCAAAGGTTGAGGTGTATGTTAGAAGTCTGGTGGTGGAGGGAGTAGATGAGCCGGAGGTTGAGTTTTATCAGAGGGAGATTGTGAAGAGCCTGGACTTTGGAGGCTCAGAGACTCGAGGTCAAGACCTGGCTTTGCCATTTATTGGCTTGTGACTTTGGGCAAATTACTTAACTTCTCTCAGTCTCAATTTTGTTTCCTAAAAATACTATTCATTGTAGTTGTGAGGAAGGAAGCTCCTTCTATTTCGCCATCAATCAAAAGAGAAATGAGGCCATTGCTAGTTGGTTATCTATTTTGAAAATCCTATGCACTATTTTCAGCCTCTGGGCTGGAAGTACATGGGCAGTCTTGCAGACGGAGACAACTCCTAGACACAAAGGTGAAGGGTGCCTTAGTTTTGTCACTGCCATCGCACATCTGGGGCTGTCTTGATTTTCCCCAGACTTTATCCGTAGTTTAAGCAGTCTGTCCACATCGTGTTCTCTGCCCACGACCTAGTGTGACTCTTGTCCGCACCCTCCCCTCTTGTTTCCCCATAGGAGACTTTGTCATCCTGCTCAATGCTGGGATGAGCATCCAACAGGCTCTCTTCTTCAACTTCCTTTCTGCCTGCTGCTGTTACGTGGGTCTGGCCTTTGGCATCCTGGCCGGCAGCCACTTCTCTGCCAACTGGATCTTTGCACTTGCTGGAGGAATGTTCTTGTATATTTCTCTGGCTGATATGGTAAGTCTTCCATAGTTTATGCCTTGTAGGCAAAACTGGACCGGGTTATTAAATTCATTGGATGGGAGGACAGCTAAGGGGACATTAGTTTGTTTTTCGTAACAGCTTTATCAAGGAATGATTCACATACACACAAGTAAGGTGTACAATTCAGTGCTTTTTAAGGAAACATTAGATTATAAAGAAGGAAACATTTATGTTCCTATGAGCATATGTCATTAAAGAAAATAATTAAACTCAACTCCAGGGTCCTTACTATGTTTATAGATAAATGAAAAGAAGAAGAGAGGGAGGGAAGGAAGGAAAGAAAATTAGCTGTAATCATTCTGCCCCCAGAACAATAATAACAACACTTGGGTTTGTTTCTTTTTTGTCTCAGTGCATTGTGTCTGTTTTTAAATAACTATGATCTTATTGAATATACCACTTTATGTCCTGATTTCTTTTTTTACTTAATATATCATAGACATTTTTCATGTTCCATACTCTTTAGAAGTATCCTTTTGAGTGGCGGTATTATTTGGTGAGAGGATGTATCTTACCCAGAAACTAAAATTGCTGGCTCAAAAGGGATACGTGATTTGAGGCTTTCAATATGTATTGCCACATTGCTTTCTAGAAGGGCTTACCTTTCTTACATTATCAGTGGTGTCTGAGAGTATATGTTGTACTGGACCCGCTAACATCTGGTGTAACCAGTTAGGTATTTTTGAGTTTGCTAGTGAAATACCTGATTTGTTGCATCTTTTGTATAACTAAGAGGGTTGATTTCTTTCCTGGTCTGTTGGCATGACGTGTGTTTGGCATGTCTGCATGAATTATTTTCCATATCCTTTGAAAAAGATATATATTTTTTTTTTTTCAGAGAAGTCTAACTTTTTTTTTTTAATTTTTTGTTTATTGCAGTAACATTGGTTTATGACATTGTAAAAATTTCAGGGTACATCATTGTACTTCTATTTCTGCATAGATTACATCACGTTCACCACCAAAATACTAATTACAACCCATCACCACACACATGTACCGAATTATCCCTTTCACCCTCCTCCCTCCCCCCTTCCCCTCTGGTAACCACCAATCCAATCTCTGTCCCTATGTGTTTGTTTATTGTTGTTATTGTCTACTACTTAATGAAGGAAATCATACGGTATTTGACCTTCTCCCTCTGACTTATTTCACTTTGCATTATACCCTCAGTGTCCATCCATGTTGTCACAAATGGCTGGATTTCATCATTTCTTATGGCTGAGTAGTATTCCATTTTTTGATGAAAATACTGACCACCGTGATCCAGCCTGCCTCCATGGAAACATCTTATACTCTCTGCTCTCCTATGGGGAGCCCTCCCCGCGGCTGGGATATTTTTGTGCATTACTTGAATTAGAAGGTCTCCTCATCGTCATCTGCCTCACTGGCCAGCAGGAGGAGGCCTTGGGTCATAGCAATGTTGTAGCTCTTTTCTCTGGCCCCTTACACAGCTGCTCAGTTTCCCAGAGAGATGACGTTTTGGGAGCAAAAAGATCTTCTCAAGTGTTTTTAAAGATCACAGTAAAAGGTTTATTTTTATCAAAGCAGTTATTTTTAGCCAGCATCTGAACACATCCAGGGCTTCATACACGTAATCTAATTTGTTCTACCTCAGTAGCTATAAAGTGGTGGTAATCACCTGGGAGAAAGACTAGCACATTCAAGTTCTAGAGGCTATTGCTGTGAATTTTCTTTGTAAACCAATTATATATTGTATATACTTATTATATATTAACATAATATTAACTATTATAATAATCTATATTATATACTAATTATCTTAATATTATGATATAAATATTAATAATAAATATTATGACAATTATTAGATATATCTCTCTCTCACTGAGTCGTCCTGGACTTAGGAAGTTAGGAAAGGAACTGCAGCACTCCTGTTTTTCTCTTCTTTCTCAGTTCCCTGAGATGAATGAAGTCTGCCAAGAGGATGAAAGGAAGGGCAGCACCTTACTCCCTTTTGTGATCCAGAACCTGGGCCTATTGACTGGTTTCACCATCATGCTGCTCCTCACTATGTATTCAGGACAGATCCAGATCGGGTAGCGGCCTTGGCTACCCCATCCCTGGCCCGAGGACTCGGCATCCGCAAAGCACCTCGGAAGAGGCAGTTCTGTTAAAAACTGTGACATGGACTGTATTCCTGCATTCAAATGTCAGCTGTTTGTAAAATGCTCTATCCTAGGAATAAGCTGCCTGGTAACCAGTCTCTAGGTAGTGCCTCTCTCCCTTTCCTCTCCCTTCTTTCTCAGAGTGACTCTGGAACCTGAATGTAGCTTTAGAAGACATGCCTAACTTTTTTCTCTGGTTACCCTGGCCTCTTTCTCTTCAAACCAGCTCTGGGAGATTTTGAATCCTTTGCCCTACAATGCAAAAATATAGCCAGCGGTCATGACTTGGTTAGAAATATCAGGAGGTGAATCTATAGTTTGGGGTCCATAAATTTAAATGTGTATCTTGAACCTCAAGATGACCCATTTTTAAATGGATTCACCTATTTTTACAGAAAAGGTACAAGAGACAGGAATCCTTCCTAATTTTTCCAAGTCTATTCAGCTGCTTTTTCTCTCAAAGAGAACTGAAAGTTGGAACAGATGAATAGGGCAAGAGAGGAGGCCAGGATCATCCTGAATGAGGGGGAAGTCACACCGGTGGTCTGTGTCCTGTCTTGATGGTTACTTGTTCCCACGGGGGTGCTGGGTGTTGATTTTGTGGCTGTACCTGGTGTTTCATGGCCATCCAGGTGAGCTGGCTTGTAGGATCAGGTCCCTGGACCTCCCCTTCTTCCAGGTTAACACTGACAGAGTGGAGGGCAGAGAATGAAGACCTGTGAGAAATCGATTGGTTTTGCTCTGATTTCCACCCCCCTTCCCTACTCCCATCTTCTGAGAGACTTTTTAGCTGCCTCCCTAGAAGCACATTCTGAGCACATTTACAATGCTTGTATTAGAGGGGAGACTGCACAAATTTACCTCCCCTGGTCAACACTTCTGCAAAGTGGCAAGTTGACTTGTAGAATTGGAATGCAGTTTATGCTCTTCTTAGACAAGGGTAATCAGAAATGCAATCAGTGCAGGCAAAGTGTAGGATGTATTAATTTCATAAGTAAAAGTACAAGTACTAGAACTCTGAGATGTAAGGTCCAAAACCTGATCGGGGCACCACAGATGTTTGCAGAGCAGAGGACCTACTGATTATGCTGCGTATGGGTTTTAAAGGGCACTCTCTAGGTTACCCCTTCCTCCCTCACCCTAAACAAGAAAGGGCGAATCATGTATTGAATTAAATATTAATTGCTCTAACTCTTCAGAAAATGGGTTGGTAGACTTGTCTGCGAGACTGTAGGCCAGCCTCAGGCACTGTGGAGCCCTCTCCTCAGAACTCGGGCTTCAAGGGGAGCTCATCTCCAGGTTCACTAGGTGAATTGATTTATTATTATCATATTGATAATATGAGATTCTTCAGCCACTTTGTGGAGCCAGTCTCTCCAGAAGCCTTTCTTAGTGGTGCCCACAGTTGCGGCCCAGGGACTATGTTCACAAACTGATGTGTGTGCGTGACTGACAAGTGCTGGTGCATTGCCAACACCTGTGAGTTTTTCTGTTCTTACATGGGAAAACTTTCCACTCTACAGTAATTAAAAGCAGCATCTGTTTTGTTTTTTTCTTCTTGGAAAATGTCTCTCAAACCAGAATATTCTTAAAAAGAACATGAGTGGGGAAATTGCTGGTGATGCTTGATACATTTTTCTCCTTATCTTCCCTGTTGACTTGGATACATTTGAGAATGGGCTGAAGAAGGAAAACTTGAGTTTTAAGGTTCTAGATTAAATATCAGGACTGACTCCTGATAGGATTATGGTCCAGTTTTACCAAAGAACCAATTCATGGAATGTTGGAATCTAACTTTTATATTATCATTATTATTTTTACTGTCTTAAAACAATTCTTTGTCTTTTCTGTTTTATTTTTCTCAAATTGCTTTCAGGAGCTAGCAGAAAATAACACTCAAACTTGAAGGCTTTAGAAGATTTTGCTTTCCTTAATTCACATTGACGTATTACATTTATAATTTTAGCATTCCCTGTAGAGCTGTCATTCCTTACACATACCATTATTCATGGAGTAGAATACTAACTTGGAGTTATGGGTTTCTGGTTTTAGGAGAAGAGCTCAAAAATGTAATCTTTAACAAATTAAAAAATAAAATATGAAGTAGTAGGGTGCTTTCCCTTTTCATGCATGTCTATGTTAACTTAAGAACTTTCCTTTCATAGACAGCTGCCTCAAGGGGAAATTCTCTAAGCTGTAATTGGTCCAGAGGCCTGAACTAGTTGGAGCTTAGGAGGGGTGGAGATGCTCAGATCATGCGAGTGATTGGATGTTGCCACTGGCAACAGATTTGCCTCGTGAGTTAAAAATGTGGCAGTTTCTTTTTGACTTTGAAGTGTCGAATTTGCCATTTTAAACATTTGTACATATTAGGAGTCTGAGGAGCAGCGAGTTCTGAAGACGTTTTCACCCCTGGCATTAGCATCTTCAACCTCTTTTTCCCTGAATGGACCCGCTCCTGTTAACTTTAGCAAGGAAAGTATATGTCACATGCAGAAGCAGTGACCCAGGAGCAGGGCTTCTGCTTCTCACCTTGCCCTGGCATGCAGGTTGCCTTCTGTCCTTGTCCCCAAAGGTTTTTTTGTGTCTAGTGTCAACTTGGGGCTTTCCCTCATTGGTCCTTCACCCTGGGTTTAAAAGAGAAGTCTTCTCTATTTGGGTATCGTAAGAGCTGTTTTTAGTAAGTCTTCTTCCAAAGAGATGATAGTATGCTGGAAATCTGCTTAAAAAAGAAAAAGTTGTCTGATTTTTGCAAGAGAGCAGTTAGGTTTTTATTGTTCATATTTCTTTTTACAGTTCTGCAATTCCATCACAGTATTTTTTTACATAACTCAGGTGTTATGAGAAAAATTAGAAAAGAATATAACTTATGTGGACTGTAAATGTTTATTTGTAAGATTCTATAAATAAAACTATATTCTGTAACTGGAATCCCAGGTGTGATCTTTTGCAATAATGTGGGTATAATGAAGACTGTTAGACACAAGGTGGCGATGATGTCTTGCTGACTTACAAACTGACTGAGTGTTTCACTGGTCCGGCTTATTTTGACAAGGGAATTTTCCAAGTAACCTGAGATACCAAAACATGCTCACTTTAAAATGATTAATTTATCTTTATTGAGCCTGTGACTTTGTGACATTGCATGATAGAAGAGCTGTGGTGTTTCCTAAGAAGAACTTTCTATCACACTGCTTTTCCTTGTGTAAATCCACGATTTACTTTAACTTTAAAACTTGTAGAGTACTGTGGTTCATTTAAACCACATCTCCTGTATGTCTTACGGGGAAAAGTCCTGTCATGAGACTTAAAATTATAAACCTGTTCCTATGCCAATTTAGTCATAGGCTGTTGTTTTTCTTTGACAATAAAAATGAGCAGTAAGGTAAAAATATTGATGCGATCTTATTACTATATACCTTAGAGACTCCTAAATGCCTATTGCTCAGCCCTCCCATTTTTTAAAACTCAAGAATAATATATAAAGTGGCTCATATTGGTCTTTTAAATTGCATTAACTAGCTACTATATTGGACTTCCATCTGCTGAAGTTGTTCAAAATAACTTTCACTCCATCCTTCGGCTTGTGCCACTTCTGGAGAGTCTTCCCAGGCTGCGGTTGGTGCCTCCCTGTACACACCTCATTTTCTGGACTTGTGTTGTAACTGCTGTTGTTCCTTATGCACCGACTTCCTTCTGAGTGGAGGTTGTATCTGGCTTCTTCCTGTGCTTTCAGTGCCTGCCACACACAATGAATGAAGAGACCAGATGAAAATGCCTATAAGTTCGGTGTTTGTGAACATGCTCCTTTTCCTCTGGCAGCCGGTCCTGTTGTGTTTTTCTGTCTCTGGTGTTGGTTTTGCTTATGCTGTGCTACCTGGTCCTCTATTTAGAAACAAGTTTGAGAGAGCTGAAGTGTGGCCCATATAGAACAGAGCTAAGCAAAGTAAACAGATCATTAAGATTAAAACTTTGATATTAGCCATCTCTTTGTAATACTCTAACCAGCTATGCGATTTAGGACATTTTTGGTGGAAGGTGAATGCCCTTCGCCTATCATGTTGCTTCTGCATGCTCTTCTTTCCCATTCAGTGATGCTGAGATCTGACTGGAGCAAAATCCATTTCAAGAAATAAAGACATCGAGCCAGCCCTGATGGCCTAGTGAGTGGTTAAAGTTCGACACTCTCCGCTTCATTGGCCCGGGTTTGGTTCCTGGGCACGGAACGACACCACTCGTCTGTCAGTAGCCATGCTGTGGTGGCGCACATACAAGAACTAGAAGGACTTAGAACTATGTACGGTGGCTTTGGGGACAAAAAAGAAACACATCAAATGTGGACATGGTTTTTTGATTTGTGGGAAAACAATGCTCATCTATTTTAAAGGTTTTTGTAGTCTTAATGATCTAGTGTGAAATACCTAGACTTTTGTGTGTGTGTGTGTGAGGAGATCAGCCCTGAGCTAACATCTGCCAATCCTCCTCTTTTTGCTGAGGAAGACTGGCCCTGGGCTAACCTTCGGGCCCATCTTCCTCCACTTTATATGGGACGCCGCCACAGCATGGCTTGCCAAGCAGTGCGTCAGTGCGCGCCCGGGATCCAAACCGGCGAACCCCGGGCTGCTGCAGCAGAGCACGCACACTTAAACTGCTTGCGCCACTGGGCCAGCCCCATGAAATACCTAGACTTTTGAAGACTGATAGGTGCAAATCCCAGCAGAAGTGAATCCCTTTCATGCTTCTGGAATAAGCTAAATTATATTCCATTTAAAGTAGAGAAAATTGGTGGTTGGAAAAGATCCATAGGTCCTTATCAGCCTTCAGCTAAGTATGTTTAGAGCTGCCAGCCAAAAAACATTTCTCTTGCCAATATCATAACCCCTTCTTGCCACATGTCTATTCAGGGTTTATTTTAAATGAAAGGAGCGAGTTAGGGAGAGTATATCCTTCCTGTGTAACAGCAATCTTTGACCCTGGCGGTGGATGGGATTCCGAGATGATCGCATCAACTATAGTTAAGGAATAACCTGAAAAGTGTTCTCATTCTGCAATCGTAAGCCAAGAAGTAGTTCTTCCACTAGGCTCTGGAGTTTATGCTCTCTTTTTTTGCTGAGAAAGTTTCGCCCTGAGCTAACATCTGTTGCCAATCTTCCTCTATTTTGTATGTGGGTTGCCACCATTAGCATGGCTGCCAACGAGT